TATAATGGGTTTTATTGTTTTTGTCTCGTCGCTCCGGCCGGGACATGGCATCACAATATGGTAAGGGGCGTAACATTTCCTTCACACGCTTGAGGTATTCGGCCAATCACAACACACTGGTTAGCTGGCCAATCAGAGCACACCTCGCTTCTCAGAAAGATGAGGTTTGTAAAAATCGACATGTTTCAGAAAGGCGGGGCATAGAGGAGAAACAATAATGTAGAGAATGTGGAAAATTTGTTTTTTGAACCTTAAACCGCATAAACACATTTCATTACACCAAATACACAAAATAATGTTATTTTTTAGCAACGTCATATGACCCCTTTAAGAAAGCAAGCCATTTCACTGTCATGTTCAGCTTGAATGTTGTTCGTAAACCGTTTCTTGTTCCTAGATGGTTATCTTCAGTTTTATATTGCTTCCTCTCTCTTTGTTTATAGTTTATGTAACAGTGACTCTGCATTATAAGTTTAAAGTGTGCAAAGACTGCATATTTAGGGGTCGTTTACACAGAATGTGTTTGCAGTCCATTACGCCACTTTTCCATTGTTGTTTATGTAAACATGCAGACGTGGTGACTGTTGCGCTCACGGCGCAGTCTTTTGCAGTGCATTATGCATAACACTGTGTTCTAACAATGCAGTGATCAAGGTAAAAGTTTAACTTTTGAAAATCACATCTCTAGACATTGTTTTTTTTTTTTTTCATTCCACTACACTGTCTCTCACATTTTTAAATGCAAAAACACGTTATGCATGACTGGCCTGTTTTTACATTTAAAAAATACAAGATGTGAGCAGTAGAATGGGGGAAAAGTTACACTTTTTTTTTTATTTATTTTTTTTATTAAAAGGTAAAAGTAATTTTACCTTGAGCACCACATTTTTAGAACGCAGTGTTATGTGCGAGTCACTGCAAAAGACACAAGGTGCAAGCACAATGGTCAAAGACATCCGTCAAGCGCATGTTTACATAGGAAATGCAATGGAAGAGTAGCTGCCTAGTTGTTCAAGCAACTCAACAATTAATCTGAAGTCTTAAAGTGATAGTCAATCCAAAAATGAAAATCGTCATTTATTCACTCTCATGACTGACTTTCTTCTGTGGAACATAAAAGAATATATTTTGAGAAATGAGAAACATTTTTTGTCAATGTAATGGAATTTGCTTCAATGTTTAAGGTTCCCACTGGTCTTCAAAATATCTTCTTTTGTGTTACAGAAGAAGAAGAAAATAAAAGCTCAAACAGGTTTGGAACTACATGAGTGAGAGAAAATGATGACATCATTTTCATTTTTGAGTCCACTATCTTAAACTCAAACTATCTCAAAATCGCATTAAAAATGTTTATGCTTCATTTACATAGCCTTCCTTTTATGGTATCAGCCCATATATGGGTTCATTTGAAAGCTTGGAGTGTCTTCTTTACAAAGAATACCATTCCTTTTGGTTTTTATATTCATAAAGCAGTAAAATTAAGCTTAGAAATGTATTCGTCCCACACACGAATTTCCGCCTAACCATTGCGAATAATTTTTACGAAGAATGTGTATTTTATATATTTTTCAGAAAAAAGTCAAGTCATATATCACAAGAAAGCTCTCATTCTCAGGAATTTGACGATGTAGATTATTTCATTGTGTGACAATCACAGATCGAATGATCTTCGATAGAATCGCGATGTAAAATTTTGTCACCTCTGAGCGAATTTACATTTATACTCGTAGCACTGCTTCAGTCAGCCGCAAACAGCCACAAATATCTATATACTTTTTTTCATTTCCTCCATTGTATGTGTGTAGGGTAAACATTTGAATTTGAGTATGTCAAATTTAGGCGAAAATACCAAAAAACGCCCTGAGCATAAGTGGTTTTAAGGAAGCACTGTATAATTGGGTTGTTTCGAGTTCATCTGACCCCGATTTAATGTCTTTTAGAAGGCATCAACATATCAAAATAACAGTCATTATTTTGCATCTTTAATGCCAGTTTGTGTGATCATCATGATCCTATACTGTTGTGGCATAAGATCAACAGTTTTGACTTGTAATGAATGAAATGTAGCTATTGTTAATACAGAATTGCCTTTCACAATTGCATTGTATTTCACTTTCTTTGGAGGAATTTTGTGAGACAGTCTGCATAAGAGTTTGTCAAATGTTCAATATAAATGATGTCTGTTGATAAGTTACTTTCAATCAGTACATGAGATGCCTGAGAGCCATCTAAACTGCTCTTGTGGAACAATTTAGTACTAAAGGACACTCCGTTTTGCCTCCCTGTGCATACATATGTTCCTGTGTGCGCACGGGAGGGTGGGGCATTGCAGAGGTCTCTTCCTTTGTGGTGTAATCTGTACCAGATGTAGGGGTGGGTGTATTTGTTAATGCACACCCCTCCTTTTCCTCACCTCACAAATTAAATCGAAACACGCATTCAAAAATCTTCGAGAGCTGGCTGGTGAAACTGTGGTCGTATTCTCAGTGACAGACTTAATCATGTCACCTGACCTCTGGGATGCCCCATGCACATCTTGCACTCTCAGTTTGTTTGTTAAGTTTGAAGCGGAGTGCTTGTTTTCTTTTGATCCTCTTATTAAGCAAACACACAGGCCAAGCTGAGACTTTATAAATGGGGGTTTAAGTCTTTGTTGCTCAAAAAAGCCTAAAGCCAATTAGGTTGCTAGCTCAGTGCTGGGTGAATGGCCATGGTGAGGTAGTGTGTGTGTGTGTGTGTGTGAGTGATCCAAACAGTACTGTGGACCAGCTTGTTGGAACGTGTGTTAATAAATGAATATGGTCAGGTTAATTCTGTTTTCACCTTATAGAAACACTTTAAACACTGACTGTTTATTAGCTAGTTCAGACTCGGTGATCGTCACTTTCTCAGACATAAAGGTTTACTTGTTTAGATTAGCCACAGACCACAGACTTTGTTCCCATGAAGCTGATAACTTCTAGTCTGTTGTTTTCTTTTGATCTTTAATTTATCCATCTTTCTCAACATCCTCTTTGAAACTTGGTGCCAATACAAGACACTTGTTGCATGTTTCTTACCATGTCGGTTCAGAAGTAGCACAGTGGTTTAATATTTCGTGTGTTTTCAGTTTAAATTCTTTGATTTGCACAAAACCCAATATGATTCTATTTTCAGTGGTGCATGACCTGTATAAGGAGGACCACATTACAAAAAAGGCGCCCACTTGCATTTCCAAAGTGTTTATGTAGGGTCGGTAGTTGTCCCTTGCCCTAGAAAAAACTCTGGTTTTAAACATTTCACAGCGGCATGTAGGAAACGTTTGATGTTTCTCTCACTGCTTCAAAGGCCTGTTGTTCCTAGCTGAAATTTTTTCTCAAGCTTTGATTTTTGTTTTTCAGCCAGTCTTAAGGGTAACTTTGGGCCACTTTTTGTCAGTGCTTACTTGTCTGTGGTATTTAAGGCGTAATTCACCTTATGAGCCAAAATTCTGTCATTATTTACTTAACCTTACGTCGTTTCAAACCTTTATGACTTTTCTTCTGTGGAACATAAAAGAAGATATTATGAGAAATGAGTCAGTGTTTTTTTTTTCACTGGTAACCAAAATTGTTTCTTTACCAACATTCTTCAAAATTATGTCTTTCGTGTTTTTCAGAAGAAGATAAGTCATACAGGTTTGTAATGTATGAGGGTGAGTCAACCCTCTATGGACACCTTGGCAATTGAATCGCCATTGGCTAGTACATTTTTTTGTTTACTCGTCAGACTGAAATACTATACTATACTATGCTATATATATATATTTATTATAAATATAAAATATAATATTTAAATATTTATATAAAATGTTTGTAAAATGGCACAGCTTTTTAAAAATCTGAAAGCACAGTCTTAACATCAGTCAGTCAAGCATTATAATATGATAAGTATTATTTAATAATAGAAATTTAGTCATTAGAATTAAAACTTAGTAACCATGTATGAATGCAAATTAGTCATTTTAACTGAACTTAAGTTAGGACTGGTGGTGGTGCTTTTTTTGGTCATTCAGTGTTCCTGTAAAAAATTGGAAAAAAACTAACATTAATACTGATAAGATATTATTATTATTATTATTATACGAATTCTACTAATAAGAACAATATAAATGCACTAAGGATTAACGAGCTGCTGGATTCATGAATATTAATCAGGTTGTGTGCGTTCGCTCGCATTGATTAGCTGAAATCAAAACACAGACGATAATAGGGGAGTACCAGCCAATGAGATTGTCGTTTGCACATTAGTTTCACCCACTACCGGAGAACTCGGCAGTTCTTAAAAGCTGAAGAATTCCAAAGGAACTCCATTATTTGAACAGGAAAATACAACAAAGAATATCGTTTACATATAGCGCATCAATTTTGCATGTTATGTAAGACTCGCTCGCTCGCTCGCTCTCTGTCTCTCACTTTGCGCGAGTGAGATTAAGCGACGGCGAGTCGTGCGCCTTCACACAAGAGTTTATGGTATGCCAAATACACAAACACAGGTGTGCTGCACATCCATTCAGATGAACTGAAAAATATCACAGATCGCTTGACGGAGAGTGAAGCTCTGAAGCGCTCAGTCAGAGTTAGGGTTGTCAAAAAAAAATTCGAATTTCGAATATTCGTCGAATTTAAAATAAAAATCCACATTCGATTGCAAAAACGTTGT